ATCAGTACATTATTCATATTAGTATTGTATGAGATGAGTTAATATTTTGTGAACTGAAAATAGGTATGTGATCGTAAATAAGTTGTAAAACAGAATGCAACAGGTACAACTCTATGCTTTGCTAACACTGAGTTCTACAATAATGATCTCATACTCTCATTTACGAACAAACCGAGCTCCGTGCAATTTATGTTCCCTTTTATACTTATAATGAACTCGTTATAAAGCACCCATAAAATACACACATCATAACATACGACGCCACAGGAACAAAGATCTAATTTAAAAGACTTAAAACTATGGATACGATCCCATAAATGTTTAATTTAATCGCCTTACTTTTTCTTTTATTAGACGTGCGCCCTGTTTCGCGTAGGCGGGCGCTCGTTGATGTCTTTTGTATGAATTAATTCAGTACGCAACGGAACGAAAAATAATTAATAGTTTAATAATATTCCTATTTTTAACCGATTTAAGTACAGTATTTAATATTTAAATTTCAATTGAATATAACAGAAAAATATTAAAGTAAAAAATATGTGTGTGTTATAGATATTCTGGTAAATCTTACTATTGAGATATATCATATTATCATGGTGAAAGCTTTATAGAATTAAAGTGTAAGTTTGTGGAGGCAGAAAGAGGGATCGCTACCAGAGAATAATCTCTTCACAGGCGTCGAAGCGCGTCGTGTGCCGCCCACACGTCGAAGGCGCCATACCTTACAGTCTCGTAGTTTGAGCATTGGCACGGGATCTGGGGATTTATCTCGCGGCCGACGCACCGCGCCGTGCCGCCATCGCACCGCACTCGATTGATGCCGTAGCTTTACACTGCTATAACTACCCATTACTATGAAGGCTTTCTCGACAAACAACGTTTATGTCTACAAACAAAGCTTTGAATATCCGTAAATAGCCCTTCATAAATATCCTTATTTAATATTTATTCGATAGTTTATTGAATTCTAGCAAATGCAAATTTTGTATTTGTTCTTAGTTCGAATGATTTATTCTCTATATGCTATTACAATTTTCTAATATTATTAAAATTAAACTGAAGGTCAAAAAACACGCACAAACAAAACGCGTTTATTTAATTATTCTCCTAAAAAAGAAATCCATCTATTCTTGTAGCATGAATAAGAGATGTACGCCGTAACATCTTTTCATTTTATATCAATTAAAAAGCTTTATAGCAGTATATTTGCATAAATGTCATTGAGTTGAGCGCCTGATGGTATTGTGTTACAAGTTGTCAGAGGATCGTGGTGCGGATCCGCATATCACGATGTACTCATATTGAGCCGCGTAATTAGTGCGCGCGACAGTCGCCTCGGCGTCGGCGTCTGCTCGGCCTCAGCGATCACTTACCAATGTACTGTTACTGATTCTCATTAAGGCTTTCAAGGAACTACCGCGCTTTAGCATAACGCTTTCTATCGTAATAACTTTCATATGTTAAATCCCGAATAAGTTGTCTTCATGCAAGTATGAGTGAAACTGTCAAATTAATTTCCTGTTCTTAATTAAATTTAACTTCTCAAAATACCGATGAAATATAAAAGACAGTTTTGTTAACGATATCTGACACATTTAAATAAAAAATTTCAAACATAAAAATAAAAAGTATGAAAATATAAAGCACATAGCTATATTTTATAAATGTCTTCACGGTAATTTTAATTAAAATTTCACCATCAGAAAACGTCGCCAATACTTTTAAGATTTCTTATCTGTAAGTTATCGCACAGTTGTAAAAGCAAAAAGTATTAAATCTGCAAAGATAATAAATTTCGAGATTGTCATATCAAGAGTGGGTTAGGTAATTTATTGAAAGGTGCGCATTGAAATAACGTTTATTTGTGCGCACGCGCCGACGTGCGACGTTACAAATCATGCTTATCGTCCGCGCTCGGCCCGGCCGGCTCCAGCGCTGCCGCCGCGCCGGATCTGCCGTTTCACGCATCTAGATACTCTCCTATCCCGGCCATCTCACACTACTTTCAGTCTTTAATGTTCAATTAAAACGGCTCTATCCTCACACCTCGATTTTCCTTTTCAAATTTGCTACGTTACCTACAAACGGAACCAAGAAATTGACTTAAGACAGACAATAATTAAATTAAACAATAACTCTTTAAAAGGAGGTCAAATTAGTGTCGAAACGCGCCGTCGTTATCTCGAAGGCGATCGACGAAACGTAATAGAAAAGTTCAAAGTTCTATAAGACTATTAAGTGTGAACTCTAATTGGTATCGCATATCGACGCTCAATCTCGGATTAGATTATCACGATGCAAATAGGAACAGAATTAATTAATGAGAGTGCGTGGTATTGGCCGCACGCGCGCGCGCGCCCCGCTCGCCGCACGTCGCAGGCCGCCGCAGCCCGTCGCCAATCACCTCGCCGCGCCGCCTGCTTCTAATTGGCACTCGTGTAGGCTGATGTGGATATTCCCTGTCTGTTAGCGCATACATTAGCCGGCATAATCTCGGCACACGCACCTTCCGCGTCCGCCGCTTGTTGCCCATGTCATGAATTCATTTGCGGAGCAATAAAACCCATTGAAATTTTGTATCAAAGGGCAATTCTAACATGATGACAGATTTATGTAGTCATATAGTTAAGGTTGTTGACATGTCATAAAAGCTAAAAGGTAAATAATTCAAATAGCTGGAAAGTTCTCTTGTATAGACTCAATTTATTGCAGGTTGACAAAGATATCAATGAATTGAAATGTAACGGATTAGTCCAATTACAGTAGGCAAATGTCAAGAGAATGATTGATGATGATATTGTTGTTGAAAAGAAAGCTCATTGATTAGAAATGATTAGGATCCTCGGAAATCCGCCTTTCGACACACTTTTACTGTTAAAGCCTGTATATTAACGAACATTTACTATGAAAAAATCACCTTGTAAGAGAAAAATTCCAGTAGGACATGAAAATACTTAACACAAACGATTGAGATTTTTCCTTACCAATAAGAATAAAAGGAATGCAACAGATTCCGACTGAATCTACTTAGAAAAGTGGTTTAAGCTTATTTGTTGAGTTGTTAAGCATCATCTTTGGTTTATAATTAAAATTCGTTTATCATAATTTAAAGCTTTTAAATCTTTTGTTACAAGTTTGTTAAATGGAACCTAAGTGTAAAGAGTTTATTTTTATGGTTCTATGTAAAGATATATCTATTTTTTGTATTTATACATAAAAGCACGTATTTAAAATGATCCAATAAGTCGAATAGACTACTTTAAATAATTCATACGATATCATAATTTGATATAATGTCAGTGACAAGAAAAGTTGTCCAATATGATAAGCATCGTTTTAATATTAACCTATGACCCTGTCAGGCAAGTGCACGCTTCTCGCAAGTCGCGATATCTCCGCAACTATTGTGGACCAGCTTTAATCGAAATGTTTCAAATTAAGATGCTATCGTCGTGGTGCGGTTAGGTAATGGAAATATCTGATTATAAGATACAGTTTACTGCCGATTTTAAAACGATACGTTAAAAGAACACAACCGGTGCACGCTCTTGCTCCCTGCTAAGGTTTTCTTGAGCATGTTTACACTGAACAATAATTGCTTGTCGAATACGTATAACAATCTTACTTCATATTAATATGACAAATTTGAAAGTTTTAATGTTTATTAGAGTTTATATCGATGAAATTTGGCATTGACATAGAGTGTCAATACCAACTCTGGAAGAACACATAGATTACTTTTGATCAATTAATTATTTTTGTTTCTTATGTTTACTCAATAATTTTAGAACGGATCAATATATCTTATTGCAATTTCGCACAGATATGAAAAAAAAATAGGAGTAACACATGGAAAACAATTACTGAATTATAGGTTCTCGAGGGATATAGGTACCTATAGATTATTGTGAGCTTTTTTAATACCGTGCGAAAGAAGTCGCGGGCAACGACTAGTAACCTATATTTCTATCTATCTGTTGTTGCTAGTCGATGCTTAAAAACGAGTCTTTTATAAATTTGAGTTTGAGGATAAACATCCTCAAACTATATTCATTTTTGAATTAGTTAATTTTTCCGATATTCTATTGTCTATTACGTGTCGTTACTATTTCTTAAGATGTATGTGAGATATGATTACCAATATAAGGGCAATTTGTGCTCAAAAGCCTTGTTATAATTTAGTCAGGGCATGAGTCAGTGGCCGGTGTACACTACGCTGCAGTAGAATTGTTCAACAATTTGATTTGCAATCGAAAACAATGTTTGACCCGCACAAAGCATTTGACAGATCTCGTAATTGAGTATCTTGGCGCTAACATTAAAGCTGTATTAGTTATGTACCTATGTACCTTTATTATAGTATTCCTTGTAGTATATTGTAAAGATGGTATTATTACATGGTAAGATAAAAAGTTTCAAGAATAAATTTTGCTCGTTTGCATGAATTTTTAATTGCATAAAAACTTTGTTTTCTATCTTTTTTACCCATTTGATTTTATAATCCATTTTATTGTATTTATTTTTAATTCATACTTAATATTAAATAGCGAGGCAGGAAAGTGTATGGGTGCCTTGGCCGTGTAGTCATTTGACCCGCGCCCACATCCCATCGCTCGACCCACATTACTTCTACGGTACAAAGATAACTATATCTTCTTTGTTGTCTCTCTGTTATATAATGTTGATGTTAAAAAACTTATTCTGCTTATTCCAGTTGATATTGAATGGGTATTAATTATTTTTGATAGTAATTTCGTTTTCTTGCAAAAACATAATATTGACATTTTATATTTTTCCAACGCTTTTGACACAATGATAGAAGCACATTAATACGATTCAGGTATCATTAGAATTCCCTGGATTGTCATACTGGTTTGGCATACCAGCTTTTATCAAATATTAACTTTTTTATTTCATACTAGTCAATTTTTGATGTCTTGAGTATTGGTTACTTGTTTTTAAGGTAAATAAAAGAAAATAATTATTTCACAATTAGGTAATGTTTTATTTTCTGCATGTGGAGGTAACAGAAAGGAACGCAAAACGGCAATAGTTTTTTATAAATATTACAGCCTCATAAATAGGTACTAACATGAACTTATCTTAAAACATAGTAGCGTCTTATGACATACTGTTATATATTTTCCAATAATATATTAATCATTTATAATTAAGGCACTTTGTACATGGCTTAGGATTCAAAAATAGAATTTTTCGGCAAATGCCACATGACTAGCGACTCCGCCTCGAAGCGGCTGAACTATCTACATCACTTACAATAACTTACTTTCTACTTCTTAATTTAAGTAATCTAATGACACACGGCACTGCGGCTTATCAACGAAATATTAACACACGTATTGATTTTATATAATGTACAAAAATAATTTAATCTTAATAATAAGACGATGTTGCAGAACCTGAAGAATGTAACAGAAATGTATCTAGGCTACGAGATCGAAATAACAGCAGGGTCAGTCTTGTCAGTACGCGTGCACCGGCGCGTTCGGGGGCAGGGGCTGGTGCATGTGGGGTTGGGGCAGCGCGTCCGGACGATACTCGTAAGGCGAGGCTCCGGCGACGCCGCACCCACCTTCCAGGTGTTTGCTGAGCAGCGACATGCGAGAGAAAGTCTTGCCGCATCCGGTGCACGAATATTTCTTCACGTCCGAGTGCGTTTGGAGATGCGCTCGTAAGTTCGAACGATCGGCGAAAGCACGGCGACAGTGGTGACAGGAGAAGGGTTTCTCTCCCGTGTGGGTGCGGATATGTCCTTGCAGCAGCCACGGACGCGAGAACGCCTTGCCGCACAGATGACACTTGCAGGGCAGCGTATGGGTGCGGATGTGCATTTTAAGAGCTCCGAGGGACGTATACACTTTAGCGCAGAACTTGC